GTATTTGTTTTATATAAGCCATAGATGGATACATGTTGAGTGAACTGGTCAAAGTGCTGCATGCTACAGCTTCCAGGCCGCCGAGAACTAGCCAGCTCCGCCAAGTCCTCTTTGAAGACATGTTTCATGAAGTGTGAAATCCTAGCAAGAGGTACTCAAGAATCTACTATATAACCTCACTCTGCTCGTCACATGATGATCTTGCGAGGCGACCAGAATGATCATGACTGGGGATTCCAACATGCGATGGTATGCACATAAAACGTATATCATAACATCGGTCTTTTGCATGATGCACGTTTGTTCTGATGACGTTTGCAATATTTCCTGCGCCTTTGTCTAGTGGCCAGAGCCTGGAGAGCACTCTGTGAGCCACAGAAAATGACCTATGGCCTTGATTCAGTAGAAATTCGGCGGCTACGAGTTTTCCTGCCATTTTAGTTTGCGGAGTGCCAGCCTAGTCATGAACGTTCTAGTAATCCTAGTGCTGTAAAATATTTATATACACAAGGAAAGGGTACCCTGCTCTGCACCCAAACTTCGAGGATCCGTCAGCGTAGAAGCATTCACTTACAATAAACAGTTTCAAGATCATCATTGATAACTGCTATTGTGTACATCTTAAGTATAGCAAGGGGGGGTACAGTGTCTTTTGGGGGGTAGTCACATAAAATGAACTTGGATGCTACATTTTCCGTGGTGAACCAGAACGTCCATTTAGGGTTTTACTTATGGTTCTATTCGGCTGGGATTCGTGTTTACATGTTATTTGCAGCCCTGAATTCGAGTATGAATCGATGTTGCCATTCGAAATTGACTGCATTATATTATTTTATAGTTGCCCTTGAAACTGTGTATAATTGATTTAACGCCAAATGTGGTACTAATGTATAATATTCCTTCGTAAATAGAAGACTCATTAGATGATATGAAGTAGTTACATAGTTCCCCATACCTCATACTATGTGGTCTGAAAGGCTGTATTATATGACACTCTGAGATGTAATGTACAGGTGTTCGCTTATATTCTTCATTACATAATTTACAATACAATCTATATCAAAACCTGATTCTTGCTGTCACAATATCACACTGTCTTGTTCTTGTTTTATATAAACCATAGTGTTTTATGCTACAGTTTTCAGGCCGTTGAGAATTACTCAACTCAGGCAAGTCCTCTGTGAAGAAAGTTTTAATTGTGTGAAATCCTAGCAAGAGGTGCTCCAAGATCTATATCCACGCTCATTTTGCTAGGCGGTCAGAATGATCATGCCTGGGGATTCCAACATGCGATGTTATCCACACAAAACGTATACCATGGCCTCGTTCTTTTGCACGATATACATTTATCCTTTGTCTAGTGTGTTCAAAGCCTGGAGAGCACTGTGAGTCGCAGAAAATTACCCCTGAGCCGTGATTTGATAGAAATTCGGTGGCTATGAGCATTCCTGCCAACTCAGTTTGCGTAGTGCTAGCCCAGTCATGAACCCTCCTACAATCCTGGTGCTGCAAAATATTGTTTTTATAAACCACAAAAGCGCATCCTGCTCTACTCCCAGACTGCAAGGATCCATTTGTAGCATTCATACGCATTGGGCATAGTTTGAACATGCTCATTGATAATTGCCAAAGCATACTGCCTAAGTACAGCAGGGGAGACACTGTCTTTTTTTGGGGGCAGTCGTATAAAATACACTTAGGTCAGACATTTTCCACGGTGGAGCAGAACGTCTATGTAGGGTCTTAGTTATGGATATGTTCAGCTGAAACAAGTGCTTACATGTGACTTGTACCATGGATTTGAGTTTGAATCGATGTTGCCATTCAAAGTTAGCTCCACTATTCTATGTTTTAGTTGTCTTTGGAACTCTGTACAATAGAGGGGTTCTCTTATTGCTTTGACGCTAAATGTGGTGTTTATGTATAATATTCTTTCCTAGACAGACGGCAAATTAAATTCTGTTCTCATCTTCACAATCCTCGTTGTTTTAGGGGCACCGAGAATAATCCTCATGGCCTCATTTTGTACAATTTCTAAACTAGCTAACTCTGATTCCTTGAATGATAATACTAGGTGCAATGCATGATAATCTACCGACTGTATGTATAACAGGTAAAAGAGTAGCAATATTGACATTAATGTCATGATCTTTGCCGACAAGGGTCCTCAGTGGCTTCAGCCGCTCCCACAGCCTTTTCTTCAGGTTTTGTATGAACTCTGTATCATTAACAATCACCCCGAAGTATTTGTATTGGTGACAAAGATCTAGCTCAACGTCATTGATGTGAAACCTTGGCAGAGGGATTGCCTTAGGGTTAAGTGCCTTGTTTTTTTCAGCCGATATGATCAAGCCACACTGTAGCCCTTGCTGAAAGTACATCAAGAATCTATTACATTCTCTCCTCGGATGAGGATTTAATGCAAATATCGGCATAGCAAATAATGGAGTTATTGCCCTCAAGTGGTAGATCGCCTAGTAATCTATGCATGAGGATGTTAAATAGCATGGGACTAAGTACCCACTACTCCAGCAGCATATTAGCCTGTTCTTGTGGGCTGTCAAACTGCGGTGTTGTGGGAGCTTAACTGTCAGCCTATTAATCTTTGTCCATACATCAGCTATATAAGTTTGACTATTGACACTTTGCAAGAATTGTTCCCAGTGTTTACTATGAATGTTTTTAGTTCTCTGAATTCTTTATTGGCTTTAAGAAATTGCATAAGATTTTCTGATGTCTTGTTACCTTCAAAGCAATTGGCAAGCTCCTGAACTCGTCTATGTTCCTCGGCTAGAAATAGGTCATTTATCCACCCATGGGGGTCTTGGGGGCTCTTTCTTCGAGAGTTCGTGAACAGACCCGTGTTGTAGTAGTCAGTGACAACTTCGATTGGATCCTGAGAGAAACTTTCAACTGTTGTTATTTCATATGTGTTGTACCAATCAAAGACACGTGCCTTGAAGTGATGCTCCAGGCCCGATTGGATAATTATTATAAGCCTAGGTGTTTTAGGGGCTGAGTTGCTGTTAACAGTATAGTCAGTTCGGATTGCAAAGTGGTCACTAAATAACTCGTACCAGTGAAGTACAGGCGTTACCATGAACTCGATTTTTGCCAAATACGTAATCTAACCTGCCACCTCCCAAATGAGTTTCTATTTCTGTGTTATATACTGTCAGTGATCTACTATTAACGAAATGTTTGAATTCTTCCCCATTACAATAACATTGCCTGTCTCTAAAGTGTGGGTGCCTTGCATTAAGGTCGCCCGTGCATAACGTGCCTTGGTTGTGAAAATTGGGTAGAGAACTAGCCAGAAATTTTGACGATCTGGCATATATATTATATAGTGAAAAATACCCAGAGGCAGTCTGAATTTTGAAATGATGAAATTGAACATCAGTGTTCTCGGATTTGTTTACTAATATATGTGGCAGTGTTACCTTCACATATGTCAACAATCCAGTCATGGCTTTATTCACCTATGAATGATATCCCTTAATTGAAGGTGCTACTCTCATCTTCGCAGCACCAGCGAAAGGTTCTTTTGCACGCTAATCACATCAATATTATATTTACGAATATAAAACTCTAGATCACTCAGCCTAGGCTTAATACTACGCATATTCCATGATATGAATTTAATTGTGCGTTTATCCATATGTGAGTAGTCCTTTGTTATGTAATCTGTACTTAATGCTGTTATATCCACTAATATTACGGAATTTAGGTTCACATACAAAACATATAACCATAAATAATATAATTCTTTTAAAAGATTGTCTTAGCTTTGTTCCACTTCTTAACACACATCAATATTATATTTGCGAATATAAACCTCTAGCTCATTCAGCCTAGGCTTAATACTACGCATATTCCAATATCAATTTGATTGTGCGTTTATCCATACGCGAGTGGTCGAAAGTGGGCGCGCGAATCCCGTAGACTTCCGTAGCAAAAACACTCGACCCGAAGGAGGAAAATCGGCACAAAATTGTTATAAAACACAAATCTGCTTAGTATGCAAATTGTATGCTCAGAGCTGAATTTTTGAAATGTCTCGTAGATGTACAGTATAATTTACGTGCGTATGTAGTTCAGTGTGTATTTAATAACTGTATTGCTGTTCATATTATCATTAATATTATCAGTCTATCACGGTAATTATCAATATTATTTTTTGTTGTATAGTTATCTTTTCCAAACACAAGGAATCGCAAATATTTGAATATATATATATTTTAGGATCAAAAAATCTGATTAGAAAATTATCATCATTATTACTGTAATTTTTCCTAACACCATTTTTATCATTGTTATTCTCACTGCTATTCCCATTGGAATTTTAGAATTCGTTAATGATTTTCATTTTATTACTGTTATTATTTTCGTTATCTTTGCTCATGCTCATCCTCTTCCTCTTAATCTCCATTATCATCATAATTATTGTTATCATCAGCATCATCGTCATCATCACCATCATTATCATTGTCATCGTCATCACCATCATTATCATCACTATCATCACCATCATTATCATCATCACCATCATTATCATCATTGTCATCATCACGATCATCAAAATCACCATCATTTTTTTATCAATTAATATACTATTATTATTATAAATCTTATTATCAACATTAACACTGGTTTTCGTCACTTTTGCAGTGGTATCAATGTTAATTCTTAATACTCTTTTAATCACTATACATTCTCATATTTTGTGTTATTGCTATTGTAATAATAGTATATTACTATCACAATTACGATGATCAGTCATTATCATCTCTATCCCTAATACCATTTTCATTTCATATCATCGGAAAAATCAAAAATCGAAAGAGAAGTGAACGAATCCTGTACAGAAATCACGCTAGAAACAAAAATCCCAAGCTGACATCCCGCTTCTTTTTTTCGAAACGCGAACTGGCACCTGACCCGACTGGCAGGTATATAGACGATGTCCAGCTCGGTAGTGTACCAGTCAAAACCCTGAAGTCAAAGTAGAAAGGGATTAAGACAACACCTTTATTTAGTTTAGTTCTTTTTCATAATTAGTCTTCGTTGTTAACACTAACATGGATTTCCAAGATAATCTTATGGAAGAAATTCAGACTTGGACAGGAGAAGGTAAGGCTGAAAATAATACTGATTTTCAATATTGTTATTATCATTATCATCATTATTATTATTGGTGGCATTATTTTTATCATCATCACCATTATTATTATCATTATTGCTGTTTTTATCATCAACATCATTGTTATTCTTGTTATTATTAAAGTTGTTATTATTATAATCCATGTCATCATGATTGTCATTATTTTTTTTTTGTTATCATTATGATTTTTGCAGCCATTATTATTAACAGTATTGTATTTTCTAGTATTAGTATACGTATCAGTATTTATTACAATATCATTATTATTGGCAGTGTTGTTATTGTTATTTAAATTTTTATCATTCTTGTTATTATTACTGTATCTGTTATTTTTATCTTTATTATTCTGATAACAGTATATGATAATCGTACTGTATAATTATTATTGAGCTTATAATTAACATCATCATCAATCATCATCATCATTTTTGTCACTACTGTTATTATTATTATTATTATTATTATTATTATTATTATTATTATTGTTATTACTGTAGTTGTTATTGTCATTATTGTTATTATTACAATTGTTAGTATTATCATTATAACGATCTTCATGATTATCATTATAATTGTTATTGTTGTTGTTCTTTCTTATTAATATTATCGTTATCAGTATTTATATCTGTTTACAAGTGTACCTGTTTATCTACCTAATTCATTTTCTTTCTCCCTCCT